GCCGCCTCTGACATGAGGAACAGACGCCATGTTCAGCCGCTCCTAACATGGAGTACAAACGCTGCTCATCCTGTATACCTGGATTAGGAGTCCTTACAGGGTACTATCAGCCGGGCCAGCTGAGCCCAGGTTTTTTTAGTGAGCTTGTTACTGCTCCCCCTCCTCCTTTTTCATCCGGGCTTGGGACCGGCAAAGGCGGAGTTGAACCTTCATGTAAAGGACAACACCTAATTGCAGAGCCAAAGTGTCCTTTAGGAAGAGGTGTCCTCTTACCGGAGAGTTGCTAAATAGTAAAAATGGTAATCTTGCAAATGAAAACTGTTCTTTGTGGAGAGGTGTCCACTAAAGGGAGATTCTACTGTATATGCAGTGTTATCAACTCCTAATTCATTAGGAGTTGATATATTTATCTTGGACAGTGCCATCTCTGATATGGAATAATGTAGATCCATTTTTACTTATCCTTTTATTAGTCTAAATTAGACAAGATCTTGGAGGTTGTGCTCATAAAGAAGTTCAAGAACTCTTCTTGGTTCTCTGTACAGGGGTCCTTTGTCCTTTCCAATACAATTTAGTATATAATGAAGGTTGAAATCCCCCCTCTGAAGAATATAAGTAATAGATTTAAATTTAGTATATGTTGGGGAGTGGCCTCTTCAGGTTTGCACCTAGTACACATGGGGAAGCTTTTGGCTCCCTCTTTATAGACTAGAGGGCGCAGGTGACCAGATTTCCATCTGGCCAACTGTGTCGACTTCCTTCTGTTTAGTTGGAGGCTCTGTTTTTTGAGGTTTTCTATTTGGTACCAAGAATGATGGAAACTATCTCTATGGTTCCTTATCAGTTGTAGTTTGTTAATATGGTCCCTTGCTGAAAGGTAGGTCTCGGACATCAGGATGTCCAGCTTCTCCTTCCTTTGTATATCCATAATGGAATGCAAACCTTGAGGCAACTTTCTTATGGTGTGGCTTAAAGGCTGTGTCTAAAAGCCTTGAGAACCAAAAAGAGTGGTCCTTGTTATAACAGCCTCTTTTATAACAGAAACTTGGTTATAAGAAGAAAAAAAAAAAGGGGGGCATCTCCTTATCGGGGCAACTGAAAGTTGCTGATGGCTTGCACCATCTATCGGTATAATTATCAACTCTTCGTTGATTTTTAATTATTCCAGAATTGGCCAGATACCCATAGTTGATTAATCAAGAAAATCTAACTGCGTACGTGTTTTGGGCTGACTAACCATTTACACCACATCCCAGTACAATATCACATTTGTACTATTTTTTCATATTGGTTATATGAAGCCTAAAATCTTGATCCCAAGTGATGTTTGTAACAAAGTTTAACATCACTTAATCCATGACTTTCCAGAATGGTTGCAGGGTTTTCCCACTATGTACTAAGTGCAATTCTCAGCCTGCAACCCCAAAACACATTATTGACTGTATTGACTCATCCATTGATGAGCTCTACTCTTCCCTGGCAGACACCATCAAAAATCTCAAGCTTTACAAGCTTGATACCTTAGTGTGATTGAGTGGAGATAAGAAAGAAGAAGAATAAGACTTAATCCATGATAAGGCACAATTTGGATTATAGATTTTAAACGCAAGGTAAAAAGACCAAATCCAAATAAATAGTGTGTGACATTTCGGTAACAGGGTTGTTATCAAAACATCACACACTATTTATTTATTTGGATTTGGTCTTTTTACCTTGTGTTTATAATCTATAATCCAAATTGTACCTTATCATTTATCCACTCAATCATATTTATAGCTTGTAAAGCTTGAGACTTTTGATGGTGTCTGCCGGGGAAGAGTAGAGCTCATCAATGGATGAGTCAATACAGTCAATAATGTGTTTTGGGGTTGTAGGTTGAGAATTGCACTTAGTACATAGTGGGAAAACCTTGCAACCATTCTGGAAAGTCATTGTCCATAGATGACCAGACTTAAGTCTGGAAATCAAAGACTGTTGTTCTCTTGGGAGGACAGAACCGGTGCTTGTCCCTCCTGCTCTGTACCAGTCATGTGTGCAGCATTAGATTTCCATTCCTGCAGGCATTGGGTTTTGATGGTACGGAGGAGGTCTCTTTCGTCTAGTTGGGTGGTGGATCCCTGGCTTCAGATATAGGCCAAGATCTCCAGTCTTTGCCAGAGAGTCTGCCAGCTCATTACCAGGATTTCCAACGTGAGCTGGAAGCCATTGCACTGTGACAGAGCTGTTGGCTGGAAGTCAGTTTACAGACTTAGCAACGCTCTTGAGGAGAGGTTCTTGACTCGAGAAGCAGCTTTGAAGGGTATAAATGGCTGCTCTTGAGTCGGAGTAGATTATTATTTTGCTTGGCGAGTTGATGTTGATGTCTTTTAGAGCCGTATCTATAGCAGAGAGTTCTGATTTATAAACTGAAAGGTGTCTAGGGTGGGAAAGGGAGATTTTTTTCCAGGATATAATCTTTGTAGATAGCAATTCCACTGCCAGACAGTCCAGTTTCAAGTTGGCTACCATCAGTGTAAATTGTGATGTCGAAGAGGGAGCTATTTTCTTCAATGATTTGGAGGCCAAGAACTTTAAGTAATTCTGGCTGAGTTTCATGTTTGTGGGGATTGTCTGGTAGATGAGGGAAACAGGTGAGTTTGTTGCGAGTTCTGTGTGGAGGATAGGAAGTTCTGTGTTTGGGATTAATTGGGATGTCTAAAGGATTAGAGTTGTGAGCCAGGTTGAGAAGAGTGGGGCGTTTTAGTCTTTGGTTTGGGACCCAATTTCTAATAAATTTTCCTGTAAGATGTTCTTTTGGAGAGTTAATATTATTGGTTATAAATTTTGAAAAGCAGATTTTTCTTCTTAGGTGCAGGGGAAGAAGGTTGGACTCAAGTTCAGCAATGCGGTTTGGGCAGGATCCTCGAAACCCGCTGATGATTTTAGCTGCGCTTGCTTGGATTCTGTCTATTTTGGATAGGTTAGTTTTACTTGCATTGATCCAGGCTGGTGTAGCTTATTCCAAAATAGGTCTTACGAGTGCAAGGTACGTTGTGCATAAGATATTGGCATTTGCACCCCAGTTTAAGCCTGATATTTTTTTCAGGATTTTGAGCCTATTTTTGGCTTTGCTTATCATGGTGTCAATATGTTTTTTAAAAGTGAGTGCAGGGTCGAGTGTGACACCAAGATATCTTGGGGAATCTGAATATTGGAGTTTTGAGTTATTTAAGGAAATATTTGGGGTCCAGTGGCGAAGAGGGTTGTTGATGGTGAAGAGGCTGATTTCAGATTTGCTGATGTTAATGGATAATTTCAGTTTCTGAGTTACCTTTTGCAGATTTTTCATGGCTTTATTCAGAGAGTGTTCTGCATTGGAGAGGTTGTTTTTGGAAACCCAGATGATTATATCATCTGCGTAAAGGGCAATTTTAGCTGGTGGTGGTTTGATGAAAGTGTGTACATCATTTAGGTAAATATTGAAAAGAATAGGGCTTAGGATTGATCCTTGGGGTAGACCTTGGTAAATACGAGTGGGTTTTTGATTTGATGTTGTTGAAATTAACCTGTATGATGCGTTTGGATAGAAAATTGCTGATTCAACTCGGCATACTTCCCTCTATTCCAAGTTCATCGAGTTTGAGAATTAGCTTTTCCTTCCAGACTCTACATTAAATTATGGATTAGACAACATTCCTTAGAAACCAATAACATCCTGAATGATTTTAAACTCTTATACAACCCCTCTATACGGTCACATATGCCATCTGGTTGGTGACTTGTTGACACACAACGATATGTAAATTTGTATTTTGATATATATCTCTTGAATATGCTCTCAATACTAACTGTCTGTACAGATTTGTGATCTGATTGGTATTCTTTTGCTTCAAGTTTGTGATAAGGTACAATTTGAAATTATAGATTACAAACACAAGGTATATAATAAAATCAAGTTTAAATAAATAAATAGTACTTTTGGTCGTTCAGGTACAGCTTTCACCACGCTGATGGGGGCCAACAGCCCGAAACGCGTCTGTGGTTAGCTTTTCTTGATTAATCAAGAATGGGTATTTGACCAATTCTGGAATAATTAAAAATCAAAGAGAATAGTTGATATTTATTCTGATTGATGGCGCAAGCCATCAGCAACTTTCAGTTGCACGATAAGGAGATGCCTTTTTCATAATTTATGCACCTTATCCCAGTACAATATCACATTTGTACTTTTTTTTTTCACAATACTCAACTTCAGTACTTTTGTCTGATGATGGTAACAATGCTGTGACAGAAATGTCATACACTGTTTATTTATTTGGTGTTATTACCTTGTGTTTACACAAAGTTGTATCGATCAAGGTTATGAAGAGCCCCCTTCCCTTACCTACTTGGTTGGGAATCACATACAAAAACCTTTATTAGGGAGCAAAGCCCCTCCCCCCCCCCACACACACACACACACAAAAGCCTTTATTAAGACACACTGGTCTTATCGAGGATTCTCCCCGAGATTACAAGAGAGATAGGCCTGTGAAAGTGGGGAATATACAGAAAAAGAAAGATTATGTAAGTATGATATATACATACACATACATATATATATATAGCCCCATACAGGATTCTCCCTGTATAGCAATGGTTTTAATTGAACATAAATCAAGTACTATATACAATTCAGTATTAACATGAGCCCAAAAAAAAAAAAGGAAAATAATTTACACACGTTTCTCATCTTTCTCTTCTTCTCACAAAATTTGAATAAATCTATTGTGTCTACTTTTCACCGTTTCTGACAGCAGGGCATAGAGTGATAAATGATTAGCTCTCGTATTATTATAAAGTAAATTTCCTTTCTTCATACAGATGATTGCAGAACGACATTTGAAAATTATCCCGCATGTGTTTCTTTTGAACAAAATATCGAAATTTTTTAAAGGAGAAATAACGATTATTTCTAACCTTAGGGATGAAGTATGAAAGAATGAATTGTGAAGAGTAATGATAAACGGAAAAATAAAAGTATTCAGGGATGGGAATCAAACCCACAGTGTTCCGCTTACTGGGCAGATGCCATGTCCACTAGGCTACCCTGGACATATTTTTCCGCTCGTAAATATTATATAAAGTGATTATTACACAATATAATGCGGCCTATGGCAGGTAAATATATAGTGAGTTGGGAACTTGTTTGGGAACCAAAGTTTTCCTAAGGGGGCTGTCAGTTCTGACTCAGGAGCTTCATCTGACCTGGCATTCAAATACTTCCTTATTCTAGTTAATTCTTTCATTACATCCCTCCCAGCAGACACCATCTCAAATTCTACAAGTTTGATACCTGATATGATTGTTGAGTGGAGATAAGAAAGAAGAAGATGCATTAGAGGATAAAAGAAAATAAGACCTAATCCAAATAATTTATTAGTGTGTGACATTTCAGCAACAACATTGTCACCATCATCAGACAAAAGAATAAACGAGAAAAGATATTTCAGCAAGTTCTCAAAGAGTACTGTTATCAAGTGTTTAAACAAGATAACAGATAAGGAAAAATAGTTTTTTAAGACAACTTGATGGTGACAATGTTGTTGCCAAAACATCACACACTAATAAATTATTTGGATTAGGTCTTATTTTCTTTAATTATAATCTATAATCCAAATTGTGCTTTATCATGCATTAGGGGAAAAAAATTAAGCTATAATCAAAGATCAACCAAAATACAGAGATTGCGTTTCTAAATTTACCCTTGGAGAAAATATACCACAATTTTGTGTTTCCCACAGACTCTTAATATAATAAGGTAACACAATTTGGATTATAGATAAGAAACATAAGGTAAATATATGATGTTTCGGTAACAGTGTTGTTACCATTTTCAGACCAAAGTACTTGGATGTAAAGAAATAAAATTTTGCATACAGTACTTTTGTCCCTGAAGATACACAGGGTAACAAGACCAACTGTTACGCACACTATTATTTGTATTTGGTCTTGGTACCTTATGTTTCTAATCTCTAATCCAAATTGTACATTATCATTGCCTGAAGATGTTTACAAAGCTATGTTTAAAACACCATATTATTTATACAGTAGAACTTCCCTTTAACGGATACCCCGCTAGCTGACACCTCTCTACAAAGGACAGTTTTCATTTGCAAAATTACCATTTTTACAATTTAGCCACTCTCCAGTAAGAGGACACCTCTCCCTAAAGGACACTTTGGCTCTGCAATTAGGTGTCCTTTACAGGGAGGTTCTACTGTATTTGGTCTTTTTATACCCCCACGATTTTTTAAATCTATAAACTCGAATTGTACCTCATCAAAGTGGGTTTTCAGTTATCGTATTTTGCAATTTGTTTTTCCTTCCAAAACATATTTAGGCTAAGGTTATCTCTCTCACAGATAAGCTTCAGTGTGTTGCCCAAATGAGAAAAGGAGCAAAGTCCAACAAGAAGTTTTATCTATCAGGATTCTATCTGAGATAGCGCTGGGTTTTGCTGCTGGCTTTGGGGTGATTAACCTGGGTTCCTTTTCCCCATTATTTGTATTTTGATCACATATGTGCATTTTTTTTTTTACTTATCCTTTTAGTCTAAATTAGACAAGATCTTGGAGGTCGTGCTCATAAAGAAGCTCAAGAACTCTTCTTGGTTCTCTGTACAGGGATCTCTTGTCCTTTCCGATACAATTTAGTATATGTTGGGGAGTGGCCTCTTCGGTTTTGCACCTAGTGCACATGGGGAAGCTTTTGGCTCCCTCTTTATAGACTAGAGGGCGCAGGTGACCAGATTTCCATCTGGCCAACTATGTCGATTCCCTTCTGTTTAGTTGGAGGGTCTGTGTCACATGTGCGCATAATACAGTCCAACCTCCCTATAACAGCATCACCAAGGTTATGTTATACAGTAGAACTACCTTCCTGTAAAGGATAACACCTAATTGCAGAGCCAAAGTGTCCTTTAGAGAGAGGTGTCGTCTTACCGGGAGAGTAGCAAAATAGTAAAAAATGGTAATTTTATAAATGAAAACTGTCCTTTGTAGAGATGTGTCTTCTAGCGCAAGTGTCCTCTCATGGAGGTTCTACTGTACTTGTCCCTTGTTCCAATATCACTTTATTAGGTACAGCTCAAAAAGAGAGAGCAACCTAGTTTTTGATATTTGCAACAATGAATAATATGTGAAGGTTATTCATATATTAAACAAAATGTTAACGTGGGATTCGATCCCGGTTCATGGCTTTCGGGAATCGAGGGTGTTACTCACTCGTCCACTGATTATTTTGGTTCTACAGTAACCATGTTGTTGTGTGTTGTGTTGTGTGTTGTGTTATACCCACAGTTTTTTTAAACAAGTGGGACTTGAAACTTGGGACTTTAGAATTAGTTGCCCCATTGAGAGACCACCCTGAAATCACGACTACACTAGGTCTCTCGTGTCTTCTTATAGGGGAATTACTAATTAGTAAAAAAAATGCTGATTTTGGTGATAAAAACTGTCCTTTGAAGAGAGGTGCCTTCTTATGTGCAGCTGCTCCTAACATGGAGTACAAACGTAGCTCATCTTGTATCACTGGATCAGGGGCCCTTACAGTGTACTATCAGTCGGGCCAGCTGAGTCAAGGTTTTTTAGCGAGCTTGTTATTGCTCCTCCATCTCTTTTTTTCATTCAGACTTGGGACCGGTAAAGACAGTTAAATCTGATAGGGCACAATTTAGATTATAGATCATAAAACAAGGTAATAAGACCAAATCCAAATAAATAAATAGTGTGTGACGTTTCGGTAACAACGTTGTTACCATCTTCAGACAAAAGGACTGAATCTGTACTCATTGTAATCATGTCATGTAATCATTCAGTACTTTTGTCTGAAGATTGTAACAACGATGTTACCGAAATGTCACACACTATTTATTTATTTGGATTTGGTCTTATTACCTTGTTTTACAGTTAAATCTTTTTCTAAAGTACAATGAAAATAGTACAATGAAAATATAAAAATAGTACAATGAAAATATGAAAATAGTAGTACAATGAAAATAGTAGTACAATGAAAATATGAAAATAGTAGTACAATGAAAATATGAAAATAGTAGTACAATGAAATATGAAAATAGTAGTACAATGAAAATAGTAGTACAATGAAAATAGTAGTACAATGAAAATATGAAAATAGTAGTACAATGAAAATATGAAAATAGTACAATGAAAATAGTAGTACAATGAAAATAGTAGTACAATGAAAATATGAAAATAGTAGTACAATGAAAATAGTAGTACAATGAAAATATGAAAATAGTAGTACAATGAAAATAGTAGTACAATGAAAATATGAAAATAGTAAAATGAAAATAGTAGTACAATGAAAATATGAAAATAGTACAATGAAAATAGTAGTACAATGAAAATATGAAAATAGTACAATGAAAAATAGTCTAAAAACATGGTTAAACTAGGTCTCTCCAGGAGGTGATCTCTCTCATCAGAGACTCCATTGAAAGATTCCTCATGACTTGGCCTGGCATGAGTCTCTGATAAGAGACCATCTCCAGGAGAGTTCATCCATGTTTCTAGGTAGTTTCTCATTGGACTGTAGTTATATTGTTTCACTTGACCAATTGTTCCCCACCTACCAGTTGACACAGTGTGTTGCCTTGTGTCCAGCATGGTGGGGGATGTCGGACTAATGGTGCTGACATCTCCGGTGAAGCACCTCCTCCGGAATGTGAACAAGTTCCTCAAGCAGGCTGAGAAGAAGGTTACAGAACGGCTCTACATCCGGATCTATCCATCTGCTCCCAATCCCCGGACCACAGAAGTCTCCAAGCTCATTCCAGTCATCTACTACGCTGCCTCTCAGGAATGTAGGAATCTGGATGTACGGGTCATACTTCAGAATCTCAAGCGGCGCTATGATGTGGTCCTGTCAGACAATATCTCGGCAGAGTTCCGTGGGTGGCTGGCCTCCCATTGTAACCTGGAGGCCCCGGCACACTGGGAGCAGCTGGTGATAGACCATGACTCCCACGCCAGCCATGCCTACCACAGCGAGGAGCACCTGAGGGTCTACAACCACGTCGTCCTCGGCGGCACCTTCGACAGGATCCACAACGGCCACAAACTGCTTCTCTCCGAGGCAGTCCTACGTACCACGGAACGCCTAACTATTGGAATTTCTGATGGGCCCTTACTCCATAGTAGGTAGCTATCCATAGTGGTATGACATAGCCCAAATGGCCATGATTATCATGGTGGGGATAAGATGTTTACAACTCCACCTCATTTTAAAATCACTACTTTCTAACGGCAACTTTGTTATAACCTCATACTTCTAAGGTCCCAAGTAGTAGATTCCTGTCATTCCAACTGGGGTGGTAGCAACAGCATGGATATACCTGTCTATACAGATTACCTCTGTCCTACATGTAAGATAGACCACCTGTCTATACAGAATGCCTCTGTGCTACAGGACAGACAGACCACCTGTCTATAAAGACCATTGCCCAGTCTCCCAGGACAGTGCAGCAATGTCAAGTTGAATGTGTGCTCAGAGAAAGTCCTGAAAGAGCTCATTGAGCCTCTGCCAGAAAGGATGAAAGCCCTAGAGCATATACTCCGTGAGATGGACCCTACCCTGGAATACAACCTGACAGGGATCACGGACCCCTACGGCCCCTCCACAGTGGACCCCTGTCTGGAGTGTCTAGTGGCCAGCAGGGAGACCCTCCGTGGGGCCGACATGGTCAATGAGGAGAGGAAGAAGAAGGTAGGCCTTAGATTGTTTTGAACTTTTTGTATATTAAACAATGTCTTATTGCAACTTCTTCTGTCATTATCTTTGTATTACACCTCAATACTTCTCTCAAATCCTATGCCACTACAGTGGAACATACTCCATGAGAGGACACAGAGAGGACACCTTTTCTACTAAGACAGTTTCAATCACCAAAATGCCTTCTATTAATAATTAGTTTCTCTCTGTTAAGCAGACACCTCTCCCTAAAGGACACATTGGCTCTGTAACTAGGTGTTCCAGCATTGCTGGGAAAAATTTTCCAAGAAAAAGCATCTTGGTGCCACTTCATGAATTGAACC